TACATAATATATTTGATGTTCGGCACTTTACTGACTTTAATTTCCTTATCTATGGTCTGTGAATATGCTAGTATATTTTGACATATAAGCATATTGGTTTACTGTCCATGAGTAATCAATAGATATACAACAGTAGAAAGATTTGAATATGATCACACCACATGTGTGAGAAATTTTCAATTTCCAGTTCTTATGTCTTTAACAGTTTCTTAATATATACTAGTTCCCAAAAATAATTTGCTAAGTAAACAGATCATGTATGCTGAAATCTTGAAAGAAATCCCTTTGAAATTAAATCTAAAATGTATAAATAATGCCAAATGAGGAAAATCCAAGACAATAAATATAACTGAAGACATTCTAGCTTATTTTCTTACCTTTTTATAATTGAATACAGGCCAGAGATTCCTTTTAAACCTGCTGTCTTAAAAAGAAATAATCTGAACTCCTATACAGTACTCAATTCTAGAAAAGTCTGTATCAATGAGAATAAATATTAACAAAAAATTGTGTCCAATGATGATAATGAAGGAGGTATAAATGTTTGAAGAGACAATGATAAAGAAATGCATGACAGCAGAGGAAATAGACTGTAGATCTTGAAGTACTTGTGAAGTAAGGTTGTGAAAAAAAAGTTAACGTTTCTAAAATCTTCTGAAGTGGCTAAAATTAGGAGGTGGGTAAAAGAAAGTTACAAATTTTAAAGGTATTAGAAATTATGAGATTGTAAAAAAGAGAGTATTCAAGAGTTATTATTGTTGCTTAGCATGGAGTCAGAATCAACCCATAGTTGACCTTCCAGTAATTCTTAGGAAGTGAGAAGAGATTGCCCATCTTTCTTCCGCATAGCAGCAGGTGGGTTAGAATTGCTTTTGGGATTAAAATGCAGTTTTTTACCACTAGGCCACGAGATTAAGACTGGGGAAAAATAGTATTCAAAGATGTTGTTGCTTTTAAGGGCCATTGAGTCACCCACGACTCAGAGCAACCTTATGCACAACAGCTCTGAATGCTGCCATGTCCTGAGCCCATCTCTCTGACTCCAAAACACCTAATCCCATTGCCTCAGTTACTGTGTAAATCTGTCTCATGGCCCTTCGACTTCTGAGCTGTCTGTCCACTCTTACAAGCATGATATTCTTCTCCAAGGATTGGTACCTCCTGACCATGCGCCCAAAGTATGTGAGACAGAGCTCCAAAATCCTGGCCTCCAAGGAAAAACTTGGTCTCACCTTCTCCAAGAGAGACCCATTTGTTCTTCTGGAGGTCCATGGAATATTCAAGACCCTTTTCCAGCACCACAACTCAAAGGCATCAATTATTCTGTCATCCTTAGTTATTGTACTGCTCTCTAATGAGTATCAAGGAATTGAAAAGATCATGGCCTGTAACATGCCCACTTTAGTCTCTACACTAACATCATTGCTCTTTAGAATTTTGGAGAGGTTCCTGGCAGCAGACTTCCCAGTGCAATCTGTCTTTTGATTTTTTTTTTTTTTAATTTTTGTGTGAGTGTACCGTCAAATCAGATCTGACTGGTACAGGAGGAGATTGTCCCTCCTCTTCCCAGCAGAGCATCTGGTAGATTCTAACCGTGAGCCTCTGGCATTGTAGTTGCAGCTTCTTGCCACTAGGCCACCAGAGCTCCCCTGTCTTTTGATTTTTTGAAAATGTTTGGAACAATATGGCAACAGAGAACTGTCAGATGTGCAGGCTGGATTTAGAAGAGGTCATGGTACTAGGGATATTACAGTTAATGTTAGATGGGTCTTGGCAGAAAGCAGAGAATACCAGAAGAATGTGCGGCATTGACTATGCAAAGGCTTTTGACTGTGTGGATCACAATAAGCTATGGCTGACTCTGAGAAGAATGGGAATCCCAGAACATTTGATTGTGCAAATGCAAAACCTGTACTTGGACCAAGAGGCAGTCTTCAGAACAGAGCAGGGAGACACTACAAAGTTCAAAATTAAGAAGGGGGTCTGTCAGGGATGTATTTTGTCTCCATGCCTTTTCAATCTGTATGCAGAACAGATCATCCGAGACGCTGGGATATACGAGGAGGAATGTGGCATCAGAATTGGTGGAAGGATCATCAACAACCTGCATTATGTGGATGACACAACCCTACTTGCTGAAACTGAGGAGGACCTGAAGCACTTGCTGCAGAAGGTCAAGGACTGCAGTCTTCAATATGGATTGAAGCTCAACATCAAGAAAACAAAGGTTCTCACCACTGGGCCAAGTAGCAGCATCAGTATGGATGGTGAAGAAATTGAGATAGTTAACAGTTTCAGTTTACTTGGTTCCACAGTCAACACTCATGGTAACAGAAGCCAGGAAATCAGAAGACGAATGTCATTGGGAAAATCAGCTGTGAGGAACCTCTCAAGAGTACTGAAGAGCAACGGCGTCAAGTTGCAGACTAAGGTGCACCTGATCCAGGCTATAGTCTTCACAATTACGTGCTATGCATCAGAGTTGGACAGTGAATAGGGATGATAGGAAGAGAATTGATGTCTTTGAGCTGTGGTGCTGGAGAAGAGTTTTGAATATTCCATGGACTGCTAGGAGAACAAACAGGTGTCTCCTGGAGAGGGTGAAGCCAGAATGCTCCTTGGAGGCAAGGATTCTGAAGCTTTGTCTGACATACTTTGGGCATGTTGCAAGGAGGGTCATCCTTGCAGAGGTCCTTGGAGAGGGAGGGACATCATGTTTGGGAGAGTGCAGGGGCGGCACAGGAGAGGAAGACCCTTGATGAGATGGATCGATTCTGTGAGTGAAGTGGTAGTAATGAGTGTGTTTGAGACGTGAGGTTGCACAGGATAGAAGAGCGTTTATGAGTCACAAAGGACTCGATGGCACATAACAACAATATTTCCAAGATAACTGACTTCGAATTATTCTTCGTCATTTCTATAGCAATTTCAACCTCAGTGATGGCTATTAAACTAGTTTACTTGCTTTTGCTCCATACTCAACATTTATTCCTTCTAGATCCATACTTTCAGACACATTAACGTATCTATTGTTTCTAGGCCTTTGCTGTAATTTTGTTATTGTTGTGTGCCACTGAGTCAAATCTAAGTCATAGTAACCTTTTTAGGACAGAACAGAAATGTGAAAGCTGTGTTTATTTTTATCTCCTGCACAGTTACTGGATGGGTTAAACTGTCATCTTTTCACCTAGCAGTCAATAGCTGTAACCATGTTCCACTGGGTTCCTTACTGTTTTTCTGCTTAATGTTTTAGCAGTACGGTGGGAAGGCTATCTCTAACAATAATTAAGCAGCACTCCCGTTCATTAGTTAATTACATTTCATCTTTCTACTTTGTCTTTAACGTTTTCAGATTTCATGAATATAATATTTGTATTTTCAAATTTGACTGATACAATTATTTACCTAGATAACTAGCAATGTCAAGTAGTATAGAAATTGTGCTTTGAAGTCATTAAGATATTTAGTTGTTGACCAACTGCTGTCTCTTTTCCTGAGAATTTACATGGTTTATCTCTTCTCAGAGACATATAGGCCTAAGATGGACAAAAAAATGGAAATTGTTATATATTCTGAAGAGAATATCAATAATTTCAAACCAGCATATATTTATTTCTATAGTTTATGATCTAAAACTGCCATTACATTTTACTAGAGTTTATGAACTTTAGGGAGCTCTGGTGGCCTAGTGGCAAGAAACTATACTGCAACCCTGAAAGCACGCGATTAGAAACCACCAGCTGCTCCATGGGAAAAGGGTGGACAATCTCCTGCTGTGCGATTAAACTTAGAGCCAGAAAAAGGTTTGCCAATTTTTTAAACATATTCATGGTTTTGAATAGCTATGTATAAATGTTTCCACACACTCCGGAGTCACCCTTTTTGGGAATGGAAACAAATAAGGACCTCTTCCAGTCTGTTGACCAAATAGCTGTCCTCCAAATCTCCTGTCATGGAACTGGTGAGTGAGCTCATAGGCAGAATCATGACAGATTGAACCTGTCAACAACTTCACCTTACTTTAATCCACAGTTAATAACATTGGTACCAGTAGTCAAGAAATCAGGAGATGTATTACAGTTAGGGACCTTTCCAAATTATTAAGGAGTAATCATGTCATTTTGAGGACTAAGGTGCATCTGATTCAGGCTGTCTTTCGGATCACTTGCTATTCTCTGAGAGCTGGACAATTGAATAAAGATGACAAAAGAAGAATTCATGCCTTTGAACGAAAGTGTTAGGAAAAGTACTGAACATCCCATGGATGGTCAAAAGAACAAAAAAATAAGTCTTGAAGAAAGTGTAGCTAGAGAGCTCTTTGGAAACAAAGATGATAAGACTTCATCATACATACTTAGGGCATGCTGCTTAGAGGGGCTATTTCTTGGAGAGAGACATGATACTTGGAAAGGTAGAAGTTTTTTGAAGAAAGGGGAGAGCTGCTATCAGATAGATTGACACAGTGACTGCCACATTGGGCTCTAATGTGTCAGGAAGTATGAGAATGGCACAAGCTAGGACAAGATTAAAGTTTGTTATAGGGTTGCTATGATTCCTATTAGACTTGATACCTATCCACAACATATTGTTGTTGTTATGTGCCATTGAGTCAC